TTTAATTAATAATATTAAGTTCTGCGTTAAATTGAAAAATACTTTTACTGAAACGCTTTCGTTATTAAAACAAGTGTACGGGGATGAATACCTAAGCCGTACACGAGTTTACGAGTGGTTCACTCGATTTAAAAACGATCGAGAGTCCACTGAAGACGAAGTTGGATGTTGCTGCACGACAATGCACCTGCACACAAAGCAGCAATTGAGCGTCAATTTTTGGCTAAAAAAGGCATTGTTACCTTGGATCATCCATCCTACTCGCTTGATCTGCCACCCTGCGATTATTTTCTTTTCCCAAAATTGAAAATTCCAATGAAAGGGACACATTATAGTAACGTTTCGGAGATTCAGGCCGCTGTAACCGTCGTATAAACGGGCTACCAAAACAGGAGCTACAAAGGTCCTTCGAAATGTTAATTACGCGATCTACATGCTGTATTGACGCAGAGGGAGATTATTTTGAGTAAATAAACGTACGTGTAAAAACTTTACTTGTACTTTTTTCTTTTTATAGCAAAAGTTCGGTTTCTTTTTGGACAGACCATGTACAGTGGGTGTAGAATGTATTCGTTCACCGATTAATTTCCCAAAAAACTTTTCCGTGAAATTATAGTTTCTTAACACTTTATGTACCGGGAGTCTATTTAGAGGCTTTTTAATTCCAGTATTTAGCTTTTCGAATTTATTTACTGTGTTCATGGTTGTCTACTTACAATGTCCAGTTTTTGGAAACAGACTTGGCTTTCAATGTACCTAGTAACAGTATGGAGGAATTATTGTCAGGAATTATTGTCTAGATTGGCATATGCTACTGTAGAAAATTCTTTTTAAATTAAAGACTGTTTCTAAATAGCCCGGTAGATAAAGCGTTAACTTCTTTTTGTATAATCAATGATATTTTACATATTCTCGAAAGTCTCTAAGATAGATATAGTCTAAGCAACATTTACTAATTAATATAATTTGTGAAATTGACAAAAACATGCGAAAAGTGAGTAAAAGTATAGAAGCAATAAGGATTTGGACGATTCTTATGACGAACCATTTACAGTAGAGTTTATAACGGAGACACATTAGTTCATTGCTCCATACGAGTTAGAAAACATCAAATTTCCAGTCAAGTACTTTTAAAGATGGCTCCAACTAATAATTTAATTAATTTAATGCTTAGAAGTGTTACAATAATTATAACATCAAAAGGAAATCCCATGAAGGAAGTATTATATATTTGTAAATTAATGTAAATTTCTTTCTTTTTTAATCAAGTTTTAAAAATTAAACAGTTGTGCGAATACTTATTGCTTCAACACTTCTATCGATTAAGTTTTTTTTCTTGTCAATTTCGCAACTTACATAAATATCTATTCTTTTTGTACTCTATCTATTCTAGAGATTTCCGAGAATATGTACAATGTCATTGCTTATAAAAAATTTTTGCATAGTTTTTTTGGAAATTGATCGGTATTGATTCGATTCTTCTAGATCGCCTGCGTATAACTTTTTTTGTTGCTGGGATAAATAACATAGTATTTTCCGCGACGCGAAGTCAGTTTAGAACAAACGTAAAATAATATATATTCATTTAATACATTCGCAACCGGTGACGTGAATTCACCTCACTTCAAGTTTTATTCCGTTATGAAAAATTATGGACATTTTCTTATTTTATACATTACATATTTACAACATTGATGTTTCAAAATATATTTTGTCATTTTTATCAAATTCGGGATGCCCAGCTTCAGAATTTTATTATTTTCATAGGTACTCGGTATTAGAAACGTAAAATATCTACCGGTCAGCTTGATGTTTCAAAACATATTTTGCTATTTTTATCTTTGCCCTAACGATACTAATTTTCGATGTCCAGCTTCAGAATTTTATTATTTTCATCAGTACACGGTATTACGGAATTCGTGATAAACTCACTAAAATACATTGAATACCTCTCGAATAACCACCTTATAATCCAGACCTTATTCCATGTGACCACCATATGAACAATACACTGAAGAAGGCATTACGACGAGGAAGATTTATTATAAAAACGACACAGCGCGTTGCAGTAGTTCAACTGTACTTGTGCAATTGATTATTGGTACAGCCAACTATTTTTTTCCTAAGAAGATTAGAAAGCTTTCTATCTGACGAAGAAAATGTATTCTGTTTTAGAAAACTACGTAGAAAAATACGGCAATCCATTTGTATGTTTATCTATCCTCAATGAAGTTGCGTACAAAAATTCCAATTTATATTTGAACGACCCTCGTACTACGTGGGCAGGTATTCTGCCTAGCTTACCGAAGATATCGAAATTTATCAAAACATTTTTCTTTACCGAACCAAAAAAGAGTTACTTTCTTTCAACCAGTTTTAACGAATTAAAAGAGTCGCGAAGGAAATTCTAGGCTTCGTACCGACACTTCAACGTTTCCATACGATACGCATCGAATCGATCGTATAGGAAAATACTGCGAACCGATCGGTGTTGATGTGTAAATAGTTCACAATTACAATCGTATCTCGTAAAAGTTTAATTCGACGGTTAAACACGCGTTTTGCTACCGCTGAAAAATTGGCGAATATTATATAGATTTCTCTGTTAGCTAGGGACTGCGCGACGGGAGCGAAACGAACGGGGAAAAAAAAGTTAGTAAAATCAATCACGATAGACCATTTCGAAAAAAAAAATCTCCGAGGTGAACGGGTACGCGTCGCCCTACGCCTATCAATACTTTATACAACAAATGCGAAACGTCCGCAAAAAGCTGCCGTATTCGTGGTCAACTCCGCAGCGGCTATTAATCTGATATCGAAATAACAGACATTTTTTTTTTGTTTTTTTTTCGTACGGATATAGGTGGCAAAGGTCGCTTAAGCTGAAACGAATGTTACGAATGGTCCACACTGGAACGTACGACCCTCTGTTGTTTCAAACGTGCCTCGTCGACAAATATTCGCGGAAATAAATTTACATTTTGTGGATCCATTATATGAAACCGACCACGAATAATCAAAAAACGCTCAAGTTTAAATGTTCCGGCTTGCACGGTTTCAACAGAATTATTTTCATTATTGGTCGATACCTAACGCGCATAATGTTATCCTCACGGTTTCTGAATCACCTTTCGGAATAAATATTCATATTTCATGACTAAACAACCTGTTACCCGCTCACTTTCATTTTTTTTATTTTTTAATACGTTGCATTTACCTTAACGTCAAGGTCTTGGCAAGGTTTCCAGATTGTTTCTTTTATTGGCGATCGCAGACAATGGACAACTTTTGACAGAGATTAGTTTTAAGTAGAATGTGCTTTGACGAGACGAATTTTACCAATGATGGTCTACTAAACGTTACACGAATAACTGTTTTAATAAGAAGTGATAACAACCCGAACAAAAATAACAATACTACTTACTCTTGTCGAGTCGATTGCTTCTGTTATTGTATAAATTAGGAAAGAAATATGTAATTCAGGAAAGAAATATATTGATATTTTCCAGTTTCATGTAAGAATTCGAAAACGGAAAATTACAAATGCACATAGAAAACAGTTGATCGTTTAAATATCGTGTTAAGTACAAAGTTAAATTGGAAAATCCTTGACGTAAGCAATTACTATTTATTACGCGAATAAATAGTTACGAGAACCGGGTTTTTCGTTACTTACTATTAGACAAAAGCATTGATGGTAAACATCGTAGTCGCCATTAGCAAATTCGCGATCACTGACGTGAATTTACGTCACTTCAAATTCTATTCTTGGCTACGAAAAAATCATGAAAATCTTTTCATTTTGTACGCTACATATTTACAACATTGATATTTCAAAACATATTTTGTAATTTTTATCTTCGATACAAATTCGGGATGCCCAGCTTCAAAATTGTATTATTTTCGTAGGTACTCGGTATTAGAAACGTAAAATATCTGCCGGTCTCGAATGTGTTAATGTTGGATTATTAACCCTTTGCACTCGAGGCCTTTTTTTCTGGTACCTACGAGCAACTCGAGATGCTTTCTTAGCATTCTATTGCCACGAATGCTAATATTATCGACTTCGAAAATAAGATCTCCAATTTGAAATTTGCGAAGCAGGTTACCTTTGCTACCTCAACGACAAGCATTTTATTGGCACTTCGAGTTCCAAAGAAATTAAACCTAAAGAAAACCTAGTGGTAACTGAGAGTCACCTCTCGAGTGCAAAGGGTTAAAAAGAGATGATATTCTTAAAAACAACCTTTGCAACGTTACTTGGAAAAATATCATCTCGATCATGTATAATCTTGTTTATAAATTTATATACTTTGATATACATTATAATAATTTCCATTAGTCTTAGGAATTATTACGTGTGCCCTTGTTACTTTAAGAGAGATTGTAATGTTGACTTTAGGGAGAAAAACAAGTGGTTGGAATATGGAATAACCATCTTTCGTAGCGTGGACATAGAAAACCGATCCGTTGGGAAGGGTAATCAGACCGCTAATTTTTTAGCGGAAGAGTAGCTACCCCGAGTGGGAGGAACCGATTAATTTATAAAAGGACGAGCATCGGCGAATTAAACGACGATGGTTCCCGATTATTTGTATATCAAGAGCCGTGTCGCGAATACGGAAACGCAACACACGCGAGACCGGTTATTAAGCATGCCCAAGCATCGATAATTAACGGATATTTTTGGAGGTTTTCATAGTATATTACGGTAAGTGGATTACTTTTCGCGCGCTAGTGTGCTCTGGTAAAAGCATTGTCTATGTAGCACGGCCGGGTGAATAGCTAACCCGAAACACGCATACGCGCGGTACGCACGTCGACCACTGCATCATCGCGCACCATCTGCTCGGTAATGACTCCCCATTACCGCGTATAGGGACTTTCGTTGAATTATCGGTACATTTTCAGGGAATCCACGCTAGTAGCAGCCGGTGGCCGCGGATAGATCTCGCGGATAGATTCGCGGGGTCGCGTACAATACAAAGTGTTCTACTTACTAGTTTTGGAACGTGGTTCCCTTGGTCCATCCACGGTCACCTTGATGGCTCTGGTATAGGTCGCCACCTGGGGTGGCGTTGTCGACACCGTTATGGTGATGCTGAAGCTCTTACCTGTAATCAAAATACGACGCGTTAATTATGATAGATACTACCTGTGCTCGTACGGTTAGAAACAATATTATCGTATTCATATTGGATATGAAATGGTTGGGACGGTACAGCTACAGGACGTCACCGTGACTATTCGAAATGTCGCTGTTCAATAGGATTTCGAGACGAGATGAGTTTAACAGAGATTTTACTGCGAGAACGACCGAGTGGCGTAGAACCGTAGAGTTGATGCGCGATGGAAAGGCTTTGTCGCTTTAATCGATTCGTAAACAAATGTAGGATTTTTAGAGACGCGCGAGAAATGTTAAACGGGATTTATTTGAATAATAAAATTGAAATGTAGGTATAAAAAAATTGATTCAGTACATCTGTACGGTACGATGGTTATAGGAAGATGAAGAGACTCTCGAATGCCCTTCTGCAGTTGCATCGAAACAAAAGACAACGCGGTACGACACCTCGCGAAGCCGCCAGAAAACTGTCAAATACATCGGTCATTCGACCGATCGAAACATAATCTCCCTCACAAATGACATGGGAATCGATCAACGATTTAAAATGATAATTGTCAAACAATTTATAAGTTTTGCATGTTCAGCATAGTTCACATGTACTCAGCGTATTAATCAAACACTCATTCCAGTTAGTTACTCTTCTCTTGGATTCTTTAACCACGAGTAGAACGGTATTAATTAGAAATACAATGAACCTGGTACACTGTGTTTACTTTTTCTTAGGTCATTTACGAGAAGTTACAAGCTTTTAGCAACTTGGCTAATTGTAAAACCTATAGAACCAAACGATAGATAGAACCAAACGAAAATACGATTAAACCTATAAATGGTTTTCACATGATTTAAAAATCCAATAAATTCCCCAGTCGAAGTAAGACTGACGATTTTCCTCTTTTCAGGTCCTTATAAGGTCCTCGTAAATGATCATATCTGTTCTCAGTTCAGTTTCCATTATCGTTTCATTTCATTCCGGAAAACTCGATTCTTTTACACGGTCCGTTCAGTTCTCACTGTTCCCAGTCGTTTCAGTTCTTTATAGCCCGTTTAGTTGCGCCCAAAAATTCATTAATAAAACCCTTGACGTAGTAAATCGATCAGCAATGTTTGCTTTAGCTTTAATCTTTTGGATCGAAGTGTCAATGAAACGAGGTAAAGATGACCTGATTTTCAAATCTCAAATTGGAGATTTCATCTTCGAAGTCAATCTAAAAATTCGTGACAATAAAATGCTAAGAAAGCATCTAGAGTCACTGGTAGATACCAGAAAAGAAGTCCTCGAATGCAAAGGGTTAAAAGCGTTCAATGTATGTATATATTGTTCATTCTGGTTTAAGAGTGTACATTTGTGGTATTCTAACTCATGGATGAAGACTGTCTCATTGCAACAACCTTAACTTTAATTCTGAAGAAAAAGCTTAAACATAGCGACAAAATTTTCAAGAAAACTGACGCGAGGCGTGCCACTCTTGTTTGCACACATAGGAATTCAAAGAAATGAAATGTCAAGTTCTCAATCTTTTCCCAGTCTCCGTTTTCTTTCACTCTTTACTTTGTACACATAGGAAAAATTGACAGTTCCACTGAAACTGAACTGGGAACAGATACGACCATCTAAAGGGACTTTTAAACTTCGGGGAAGTTTCAGATGGTGGATTCTTTCTAGCTAAAAGACGGTAGTAAAATTGGTCCATCGATAAACAACGAAACGGTAATTTATCGGTGGTTCGGTTGCGAATTGCGAAGAACGAGAGATTTCCAGGCTGCGGTCGAAAGGGACTCCCACCGAATCTCGATCTAACTAGTTTACGATTCCGGTAATTACATCAACCGCCATTAGATGTCTCGACCGACCGCGAGTTTCTTCGACTGTCCAGACTTCAGGTTTAAGTTAAGGGGAAGCGAAACGAACGTTCTTGTGGGAAGAGGGTAGGGGTAGGGCACACCGGTGTACATATATCACCGTCGAAGGTCTCGAGGTTGAAGGTCCGGTATATTAATTCCTTCTCCATAAACGTCCGTCGCAGAGATTGACTACGGTCTCTTAAACGGGCCCTTCGCGCGCTAATACGCATTCGGTAATTCGCCGCTGCCTGTTCGAACGGAGAAGCCCCCGTTGTCTTTTTTCGGCTGGCAAAGTCAACCGTGTTATACACCTAGGTCCTTTCGGAGTTACTTTGTGTCGGCACGGTTCGCCACTCAAAAATAGATTGGCTTCGCGAGAAGGAGGTGTTGATGGTCTTGGAATAGACGCTTCGAACTTTGAAAACATTCGGACCAGCGCAGCGCTAGCACCAAGGGTTGGGATCCTTGAAAATATTCAAATGCGTAAACAATTTTCATCGAATCAATTTTCATCGCATACTAACAGGACATGAGATCCTTTTCAAAAACACTAAAGTCATGGCCAAAATACAAGAGTTACTTCCTGCGCAAATATAGGGAATCGATGGAAATCCTGAAAAATCCGAACAACATCAATCGTGATACAGCTTTCCAGCTCAATCTCATCTGAAGCACCCTTCTCCCGTTTTTTTATTAACCGATCCACTAATCGGTTACTTGGCGCAATGTGAGTAGTGATGACTGATCCGGAACGTAAACACGGATAAGTATATAAGAAATGCAGACTTCGGGCACATCAGTGTGCCTTTTGTACCCTGATGAAGCTAGCTGCAATGTTGCCGAAACGTCGGTATAGGAAACCTAGCGGACACGGCTTACACCCGGAAACTACAGACAGTGTCATTAACAGTGTTACTAACACTGTTAGTACGAATTTTCATCGAAGCGATCACCGAGGTTCGCACTCTTACCTTATCGTCTGGTCGATCGGTGATCCGAAACGAAAGCTACGGAGACAAGGCTCGATATCTGGAAAGTCTGAAGAACTTTGCTGCGATCGTGTTTCACTGGCACAGATTGCATTGATCAAATTTTCACTAAAACGATTGTTGTATCTAGGATCCAGAGGAACAACACGTCGTACCCGTTATACCAATAATAGTTTATTAAATATATAATATAAAACTCTGACGATCGTGCTCTCGTACCGCATCGCCGCTAGACGGTCCGCCGATTCCTTATAGCACGACATTCGAACACGCATACGTAACAACGATACTCTGTAAAACTGGTGTAAAACTCTGTAAAACACAGGCAAAGTCATAGACCCCTAACCAACACCAACCCCACGCAAACTCTTGTAACCCACTCCACTATCATATTCCTACATACCTCAATTCGGGGTCTCTGAAGAAGTTAATTTTAAGAAAGGTCAATCATGCTACCACGGCCGAATCGTTCAGTTGTTTACCGTTCCAATTTGTCTCATACAGTCCATTGTATTTAATAAACCAGTTCACATAACCGTTCGAGCGTGATTCATTTTCAATACGGTTCTGTGACATTAAGTTGTGACAGAAAAAATATATTAACGAATTTAATATATGTAAGTTTGACATCGTTCAAACTTAACCGCGCGTAACGCTGACGTCTCATGACTGACAAGCGAGCTAAGAGATACTCGTTTCCAACGTCGCATGGATAGGGGGTGTAATAGCGGATTAACAATGATATGTCACAGTTGTACAAGTGATAAGGTTATTTAAGAATAGTATTAATAATTGGTTATACCGACAAGTGTGTTGATTCAGGTATAATCATTAGTGTTATTAGATGATATGTCCCTGTTGTATGAAGCTGTATATATATTTGCTTTTTATAATTACAGTATTGTCGCGCTACAACAAAGGTCGATTCAGACTATACGACACGTTCCGGCACCGACACGACAAAACATTAAAACACGCGTTTTAATGGAATTATTCACAGTTAACAGGCACCGATCTGAACGTTCCGTCAACGGGAATAGTGTGAATACTGAATAGTTCCATTAAAACGCGTGTTTTAATGTTTTGTCGTGTCGGTGCCGGAACGTGACGGTTTTTAAACAATTTACAAGTTTCTGAATCCGAAACTTATATGTATTATCCACGAGCGTCTACATTCGACCATACAACTGACGCTCAACAAAAACGACAAACGGTATCTTGGATCACCGCTGAAACTCGCATCGTAAAATGGAAATTTCTCGACAGAGCGAAGCGTAGCCACGATGATCTTGGCAATTACGTAACAGTTATATCTCTTGTTTAAATTAGTCGAAAGTTTGGTCGAGGAGGAGTCGAACGTTTGATCGGATCGAATCGCGGAACGCTTAATAGGAAGAAGTTCGTTCGCTCGCGGTGAAGAGAGGATATCTAACGTGTCGCGGACATGTAGTCGTTTGTGTTGGCGTAAACGTCAACGATTTGTAATTGTCTCCCCTTGGCGCGGGCTGGTCCACCTCGCTGTGTCTGTCAACATGATAACCGGCATCAAACACCCCAAACCCCGCCGCCCCCGGGAACTGCAACTGACTGCAGAGAGGCACGGCGTTATATCCTAGTTATAGCGTGCCCTCTCCCCCGCGTGCAACCGCTCACCCTCTTCCACCACCACCCCCATCGCGACCCACCGTGCCCGCGGTGGCTGTCGCTCTCGCGCCCGTCATTGTATCCTTGTTATCGTCATCGTTTCGGCCGAGCGCAAAGTGGCTCGTTTCGGAATACCAAAAATCGCAGCGTGTCGCGGTTGCTCTTTCTGGCTTTCGTTTTAAAATCGATTAGCGGCATCGATCACGGAGAGACGCGTCTGTCCTTTCGGGGCATCGCGGATCGAATGACACGCGGTAAACGTTTGCAACTGATGGGGACGTTCGGCCGTATCGAAACCGATCTTTTTCTACCTAGAACGTGCAATCTCGATTAACGAACACCGAGCCTCGAAAGATGTTGTAATTGTACTTTATTATAATTAGAGAGTACAGGATATATTGGGCTGTCTGGAAAGTCCATGCCGATTTTTAATAGGCGGTACAAGTCTGAATATGTCGGAATAGCTGAAAACAAATAAAATCTGTACATTCCTTAACAGGTCCAAAGGTTG